TTACTTCAAGATCCTTTTGGGAATAGTACAAGGATTTTAAGTTTGACTATCCAAAGCTCAAACTTTTTTTTTTTGCCAGTTTTCTATTTTTCATAAAATAATTTTCTGACATTTTTACAAAGTGCTTCCCACAAATTTCCTCATTTAATGGTTGCAACGCAAAATTGCATTGTTGTGCTGGGAAATCATAGGTGAGCAGGAGTCATGAGTTAGTGTGTTCCTACGATGGGCTGTGGGTGGACCTCGGGTTTCTTGCCTAAAAAGCAGCCTTCTTTTTCTTATATAAATGCTCTTTCATCAAACTCTCATTTTCGGGAATTAAGAATCTTGCCTACAAAGGAACAACATCGTAATGACACTTAAAATTTTCCAGCAGGGTTGTATTTTGTCCCTCTCCTGACCCTGTCGAAGATGCAGGCTAAATGTCCCCTTTTCAAGTGGAAAGACAAGCATAGTGATTATAGATTTTAAAGGAAATTTTACAGGGTTGTGACCTTCACAAATCATTGGTTCTATCAGGGAATTTATTCACTTTGGTTGGGGTAGAGACAGGTGGCTACAAGTTAATTATCCTGAAGCCAGGTGGTAAATACTCTTAACATTTCACTGCTTGTGGAATAAACAGGCACCATCTCCTCAGTTATCTTGGAGAAGCTTACAGCAAGTACATAGCTCGAAGATAAGTGTTCTCCTAGTGCTTCCTTGATGTTTTATTTGGTTAAGGAAGACATCAGTTGTATATGCTTCTCACAATTCTGGGAGAGGGTGAAGGCTATTTCCGTCATTTGGTGGAGGGGAACTTTGAAGGCACTGCCTACTTTTCTGTATTTTAAAACAAATTGAAAATAAGTGTGTAAGGAGATTCTTCCTCTGCTCATCGCTGAGTCCTTGGGTGGGGAGGGATGGGGTCCCTGCAAGTGCACACCTTGGCCAGTTTCCTCAGCTGTCCCCAAAGGCTGCTGGCCCAGTTACCGCCATGGATCTTCGGCCTTTGGATCTTGTGCTCAGCAAGTACCTCCTCAGATGTTTTCTAAGAAGTGTAATATCACCTAGCACCTAGCACTGAGCACAAGTGAAACTGAGTGCGGTAATACTTAGCGTTACTGTTTGATGGCTGCAGCTCATTACTTCTTCTGAATAGCCTAAAATACATTTCTGGATTTAATCAAGGAATGAGAACACGGATGCAATTATTGGCCCCTCTGAATTGTGCGTTGTCCTTAAGTTTGTGAAAAAAACCACAGGTCTAGAAAACTCACTTTTATGTTCTGTATAGCAAATGGTGATTTGTTTATGAGGCTCTCTTAGAAAAATTATTATCTGAGCCAAGCACTAGTAATGCTTTTACTGTTCATGAGAAATGAATTTATGGCTAACAGACCTTGTGAACAAGAGAGCAACAGACAGGCGTCCCTTTTCCTGTAGATCTGTGTTCAGTTTGAGCAGGTGTGTAGGGCATTATGTTTTGCATTCTTTTTTTTTTTTTTGTGGTACCAGGAATCGAACTCACGGCCTCACACTTGCCAGGCAGGCGCTTATGCCACTGAGCTAAATTCCGGGCCCTTTATTAGCATTCTTAACTCTGGCAAACCATCACCCTTGCTTCTGTGTCTCCTACTCCACTTTAATTTCAAAATTTAAACCCCTCGTTTTTCTGTTGCACATTCTTGAGTAGTCATTTGAAAGATGCTCTCAGATGTCAGACTATGTCTTTATTTTCCCATTCATAGTTGATTGTTATTTGTTTAGACATAAAATTTTAAGTTCAAAAGCATTTTTCCTTAGAACTAAGAGGCATCAGCCCAGTGTCTGCTAGCAACCTTGTTGGTGATGAGAAATTTCATGCTGATATTATTCTTGTGTCTTTGGGATTAACCAAATTATTTTGTTTCTAGAAATTTTTTGGATGTTTTCCCTTGTCCTTGGAGTGCATCCTGACTGACACTTGGTGGCTTTTTCACTTTGAAGAGCTGTCTTATTCTGGTGCAGGGAATATTTCTTCTATTTTATGTGTTTTGTTTCATCCTATGCTTATGTTCATGTCTTGGTTACTTTTCTCTTGTTGCTGGGACAAAATACTTGACACCCAAAATAGAGGAAGGAAAGGATTATATAGCTCACAGTTTGTGAAGGTTTCAGTCCATAATCAGCTGGTTCCAAGGCAGGGTGCCATGGCACAGGGGCAACACTACAAGGCAGCAGCCAGCAAAACCAGCCAAAGCAAAAAAGAGGGAAGAGCAAGCCTCTTCTCCTCCGTTTATACTGTACACAGGAAGGGCACTCACAGCACGGACAGAACTCCTCTTGCCTTCCTCTTGCACAGGCCTAGGATATTGCCAAGAAGGAACCTGGCTCCCTGCTGAGTTTCTTCCTTAAATTGCTCAACTTCTCAAGTTGACACAATGTATCAACCGTAACAGTTTACTTCTCCTAGGTTTTACTTCTTACATGATTTTGAGCTGGGGATTTAGCTCAGTGGCTCAATGCCTTGCCTGAAAGCATGAGGTCCTGAGTTTGAGTCCCAGCACCAAAAATAACAACAACAAAAAAGTGACTTTTGAGAATGAAAGAGGACCCTAGTATTATTATCCTTTTGTCATTTTGATATATAGTTTAAGAGATTTCTTTAATCTTATGCGCTCTAATTTTTCCACTAAATATTTTCCATTTCCTGGATCTCATTTTTGTTCTGGTTTCTTTGTTCATGCTAGCTTGTTCTTTGGTGGATGTCTTCTTGAATATCTGCAAGGTGCTAATTAGGATTAAAAGGAAAACTCAATCCTCTTTCCCTACCTGTGGTCAGCATCCTCTTTCTCCTGGGAATCCCTGTCTTTTTCTAGGTGACCTATGGTTACTTGCTTGCATTTACAGGTGAAGCGTTAAATGGATTAGTACGGTTGCAAAGATCTTTTTACTGCCAGCTTTCTTCTGCAAGCAGGTAGCTAACAGGGAGACATTTATTGGGTGGGTGGGGAGCCTGGAAAATTCTACAGCTGCCTGGGAAGGCAGTGTTTACCAGGGTGTGAGTCTACTGGGGCTGCTGTAGTGAGCTGGAGAAGCTTCTCTCTTAGGCCTGGACACACGTCCTCAGCTTTCTTCTCCAGTCTATCACTGATTCTCTTTAGTGAGCAAAGACAGTGCAGGAGGACCCAGCTGACTTACCTACTGTTTAATTACTTGATAATTTCCCATAAGTAAAATAACAATATAACTTGCTATCTAAAGTGAGACTCTTTTGAAAACGAAAAGGGAATCTGTTAGTATTTTGCTGAGAAGACAGGTGTTCACTGGAGTTGTCACCTGTGTCAATAGTATGCTCTCCACTGGGCCGAAAATGGTAAAGATTTAGGACAAATGTCAGGATTTTTCAGAGATTCCTGAAAGGATGCAAAATCTTCTGCCAAAATTAATCCTTGAAAGTTCAGTTCAAAAAGAACAGTACTGGATTTACAAAAGCAAAGGTTAAGGACTTAATGGTAAGAATTTGGAAGCAGAAAGAGAACTTCCTGGCTCTTACCAGGGCTCACGGGAAAAGAGCAAGCTAGATACCCAGAAGAAGGTTCTGATGGACCTACCATAGGAATCACTTAGGAATCCTTCATAAGAACCATCATTCCTAGGAATCACCATTCCTAGGAACCACCATAGGAACCATTCATAGAAATCACACTGGGAAGGCACTGGTCTCAGTCATTATAGAGTATGGCTACATGAGGATGCTGGGTAGACCGTTTCCACATGGCTCATAAAATCAAGATTCTGGTACTCAGAGTAGGTAAAATTGGGACTGGAAATAGGCAGTCCTGCTATTGGATGTGCTTCATGCAAATGTGAAATTTAAAAATGATCAACATCTGAATGTGCATGATCTAAGCTAAGGCCAATGAATATTCAAATTGGTATATATGCAAGTTTCAGTTTGCAGCCAAAGGTCATCTATGAATTACATGCGATGGCCACCGGGCCAGGTTATCATTTGCCATTCAGAAAGAAGACCTCATCTCCACCTTCCCAACTTGGCTGGCCGTTGATTTGGAGTTTCTGGGCACCATCTCTTTGCAGTTTTTTTTCTAAATATCTGCACTGTTGTAACCTTTGGACTTGTGGCTCATTTACTTTGTTAGGTGTACTGGTATTTACATTTGCTTTTAGAAGAGATTTGATTCTTTGGCTACTTCTGGTCAAATATAGATCTTAGTCTCTTAATCATATAAAATTTTTCTTTAACTTTATTTAAAATTTTATTCTATATTTTGCAGTTCTAGGAATCAAACCAATGGCCTTGATTATGTTGGCAAATGCTCCACCACTAAGCTACCCAGCCCCAGCATTTCTTTTGATATGCCTGTGTTGCTTTGAAACCTTACCTCTGGTTCCATGACCATAATGTCAGTGACCTCACTGGTCACTTCTATATGTGCTTATTTTGCTGTGGTTTTCTTTTCTTTTAAGTTCTGAGAGTTGAACCCAGGACCATCACACTGAGCTACATCTTTAGCCTATTTTTATTTTTAGATAAGATCTTGCTAAACTGCCCAAATAGGCTTGAACATGAATTTCTCCTGCCTCAGCCTCCCTCAGTGCTGGGATCACAGGCAGGTGCCATTTGCCTGGCTTGTATTTTTTTCTGAACTTTGTGAATCAATTCCTTCTCTGGGTGCATTTTGCTTTTGGTGGCTCTTTCTTCTTTAGAAACTATCTGAAATTTAAAGAAAAGATCTTTGTGGTGCTGAAGAGGCATAAAGTTTGAAGACACGTAATGTTTTACTTTATGGCTGGCATCAAAAATATAATGGGAAACATGCCCGGTTTCCATTTTGGGACTTTCCAACACAGGTTCCAACATTTTGGCTGGCAAAAGCCAATGCCCTTCAATTTCAAAGAAAAGAATTATTGCAAATTTGACAGCAATCAAAGTAACATACATGATGTGATTTTAATAAGCTCTATGTTTCTGAGGGTCTAAGGTTTAATTTCGTTCCTGATTTCTCTCTCTTTAGAAGTGGAACGAATCGTGAAAGCCAATGACCGTGAATACAATGAAACGTTCCAGTATGTGGTGAGTTGAACTACACTTAGCACACACCACCTCCGGGGTAGGTCTTACTTTAAGGGCTGTACGCAAGCTTTGTGGCACCCAGAACCATGTGACCAAAGAGTGTTTGTGGGCCTGTTCTACAAGCAAAGCACCAGGTAGTTCTATAAATATAGATCTTAGTAATGCTCACCTGCTTATTTCTGTTCCTAAGAGTGGTTAGGATGGTTATTGTTATGGAAGGTGATGAGACACGGCTGCCTGTTTGGGTACCAGGATATGTGGGAATAATACAGAAAGGAGCTTTTAGGGGTACCTGGTGAAGGAAATGATGGTAGTGGCGATGATTGATGAATGACGAAAGTGGAAAAGTATATGTAAGAGAAAATTCCCAGGTCATCCACGATTGTACTTACAAAGGGGGTGACTAGTTTAAATGTGTCTTTTTCTTTAAAGTGAGAGTTCTTTTTTCTTTACATAAGAGATATCTATTGAGTTTTGAGGAATTTGGGGTACACGGGTGCACAGCTCTGTATACTACAGCATGGACTCTTGTAAAGAGCTTAAGATCTATGATTCAACCTAAGTTAAAATCTTTTATGAGCTCTAAGATAGAAAATTGGTAGAATTACTTCTGAGGGTGATGCTGGCCTATAAGACCTGCTGTAATAGTGAGTACACCAGCACCTTTAATGAAAAAACTCTTAATTCTGAGCGGGGTGTATGAAGGCTGTGAAAGCATAGGATATGAGATTGCAGGGGAAGACTTTGGTACGTTCATGCAGGCACTGGCCAGAGGAGAGTTTTGGGGAATAATCTGTTTAGACTTCGTTTTCATGGGCTGGTCTTTTCCGCTCTGGACAGATGGAGGCACAGGGCAGTGTAGCTTGATGCTGTTGAATGTCAGCAGAGGTACCTGACAACTCCTCTTTTCTCACGTTGTGCTATTCATGTGAGTCTGTGATTATAATTAGATTCTCAGTGTGGGTTTCTCTCCAAGCAGTCAGCATGCTGTTTCTCTGGCAGATATCGCCTTGTAAAACAATGTATTGAAATTCTGAATTTATTCATCAATCTTGTAAGCTTGGTTAAAGTAAATCTGCCCTTGAGGCTGGTGAGCAAGCATCTTAGCTTGAGAAAGCAGGTGAAGAATGTCATTCTGTGTGGTCCCCTGATACATGGTCATTTAGCCCCTCTGGTTGTCTCCACACTTGTCCCTTGCCTTGGTATCCATCTATAGCCAGTCTTCTAATTGCAGAGAAAGCCCTGGAAGCCCCAGCTGGAGGAGTGGAGATGTGTATATTTCCAAACTTGGGGAAAAATAACCGGCAATAACTAATCTGCTAGAGACATAATTATGCACAGAAGTGCTTGGCTGTGTTAACTTGTTTTCCAGTATGCAACAAATACTTTCATTCTGTGAGTAGGAGTTCTGTAAGAACATCCCTATTTCGTTTGTGTTTTGCAAGATGACACAATCTTTTCTGTTAATTTCCACTTAATTTATGAAATATTTCAAACTTACCGAGAAGTATGGGAAATATATATAGATATATATTTGGTGGTACTGGGGATCGAACTCACGACATCGCACTTGCCTGGCAGGCGCTTATGTTGATGAGCTAAATCCCCAGCCAGAAGTATGGGATATATTATGACACCTGTGTGTTCACCAATCAGGTTGAGGGAATGCTAATGATTTGCCTTTATTGCTTCTGACCTTTCTTTGACATTGATGATTATGCTAATCTCTCAAGGATTCTCTTGAACTTTCATAGCATGAGGCAAAAGCACAGAAATGTGAGGTGTGGCTGTTTTCTGTTGGTCTTAATGAGGCATAGTGTGACACCCTGCCGTCACAGGAGAGTGTGCAAGGTGCCTGGTCTCCGAGCGGAAATGCACCAAGGCAGCAGCAAAATACGTGATGGGCTGGAGAAAGTGGCAGAAATGAAGACAGGGGTGTCAGAAAGCGGCAAGTGTGTCTGAGTGTGTGTGCTGGGGTGGGGACAATTTCCTACTCTAAGGGCCGCTGCTGTGGCTCAGAGAGGATGACTGAGCCCCAGGCCCGTGCTGGGGTCACTTACACCAGGCAGGGTGAGCACTGGGCAGTGTGACCCTCTCGCCTGTCTGTCCAGCTATCAACCAGGTTAATAAAAACACCTCTGTCCAGGGTCAGTGAGGGAAACTGCAGAGGGAAACTGCAGAGGGATACGCAGCGGCCCCGGGAGTCAGTCTGTGTGGAGCCGGGATCTGAATCTATGACAATTTGCCTTTAGAGTTTTGTAAAAACCTGTTAAGAAAAGCAGGAGCCTGGGGCTTTTTGCTCTGTTTTTAAGGATGTCACCCCAAATATGAGTAAATGTGGACAGACCCCAACAGATCTCAGGGAGACTGCTTATACTAATTTAAAAAAGCAATATTCTCACTCAGTAAAAAAGAAACAGGAAAAAGTCCAAACTTGTTAGGAAAAAAATGAAAGAGAAATGGAGAAGACCCCTTAAAGACAGCAGAAATAATAGTGTTTTGGGATAAGATAGACCACAGTTGGGATCCCTTCTTTCTCTCCTATGACTAAATTGTGATCTTGCTCTGTTGATTTCTCTGAGTATCAGTTATTTCACATACAAAAATGTGAATTTTTTCTCATAGGATTATTCCCTGAGAAAATTAGATAATTTATAAAAAATAATTAATAATAGCAGCACTAATATATATTAGATGCTTTTTAAGTACTTGGCTCTGCGGTAAGCTTTTTGTATAGATTTTTCTTTAAATCCTACCATGGCTTTGGGCAAACATTTACAATAAATTTTAGGTTCTTTCTAAAGCACTGGATAAAGTAAGATATTGGTGATAATGTCGAGAAGAGACGGAGAAAAGTTTAAACTTGTAAAATATTTGCAGCAGACATCATGTCCAAAAATGAACCGGTATGAGATTATAATGGTAGGGAATTTGTGCATAAATTTTGTAGATGATGTGATAGTTGAGAAAGCAAAGCCCCTAAACCAAGGAGTGTAAACAAGTGTGGAAATGGGGACCCCTTTCCCTGATGAGCCACATCGGAATGAGTAGTTCGGCAATATAGGTATCGATTATCTACTCTGCAGGGCATTTGGTGAGCCTAGGAAAGTTTTCCTGCAGCCTTAGCAATGGTATTGATAGATACATGGATAATAGTGACACTATGATAATAATAATAGTGATAGTTTGACCTGCTCATTTCATACAAGAAATCCTCGAGGTGTAGAAATGTCCCGTAAGTAACTTGTTCAAGGTTACACAGCTGGATAGTGGGTCCCAGGCTGATCACTGTCAATCCAGCAGGGTCCTGGTGCTGACACCTCAATCTACAAGACCCAGGGGAGTGAACGAGGGACCGATCCAGTTAAAGTTGGCAGTGCTGAAATTCTAGTTCAGATTGGTTAGAGCCCAAAGTTGTGTGTGTGTGTGTTTTTTCCATGATATTCTTTTGACCAATCCCAGAAAGCAGACCAAAAAACACTTCAAAGAAAACAAAACAAGAAACAAAAACCAGTCCCCCAAATAAAACAAAACAATCAACAACAACAACAAAATCAAAACAACCTCAAAAACCCTGACCAGCCTAATTTTCCTCCCTGCTCTAAGATACCGACCAACAAAGATTTTATATACTCTAAGACAAGGGAAGATAAAGGTGACTCAAATTTTGCAAAGTAAGGCTTAGACTGTTCTTAAATCTTACCCTTAGTGTTTGTACACATGATCTGGGAGGAAAGGTTTACACAAAACTCAGATAAGTAGTGCAGTTTTCACAAACACCAAGCCTGGCCAAGTCAACTTTTCTCTTTGAAGGCTGAAGGAAGATATCTCAATACATAAAGAACCTTAATTTATCAGCAAACTCCAAAGCTGCAAAGCACATTATAAAACATAACTCAGGCTTAGAATATTATCGCAAGCACTTTGGCGAGATAAAGGATTTTAAACATAAACAAAAGACAAGATTGATGATTCTAAGCAAAATTAATTGGTAAATTAGATGTGATACTGTAAGAACTGGGAGGTAGGAAACATAAAACTTGTATTCAAGAGGGATTTCGGACTGGATTGCTGAGGTCCAGGACAGAGTGGGATTTTGGAAATTGGAGAAAGAGCACTGGAATTATTGTTCTCAGTAGAGAGGAGTTCAGAGTTTCCTTGGCTAATAATAAAAATGAGTAACAGAAGTAACGAAAACACTTGTATTAAAATATGCTAATGTAAAAAAGGCTAAGTGTGAGAATGAACTGAATATCCAGACCCATCATCTCTCTGAAAAGGAGTTCAGAGTGAATGATAGAAAAAAAATAAAGTGTTAGATTAATTATGATTGTTTCCTGACTTCATTTACAAACTAAGAAATAATGATGGAAAACACTGGTTTCCACTGATCCTTGTGTTCACTTCTCCCCTTCCTTCCCTTTCTGGAAGGCTCTATCTCTGGTAGTTCTCTTGAACTTTGAAGGAATTTGAGAAAGGAGACGAAAGCTCATTTGAGCAATGAGAAAGTTTTACTGCCTCAAACTCAGAAAATACAGGAAAAGCCAGACAATCAGTTGTTTCTAAATACATTCCATGCACGTAAGTAGATGGAAAGTTCCTAAGGGACTGACTTTTTCTTGAGCTGAATTCTTGATCTTATTTGGGAATTTCACAGCTTTATATATACTGGTAAAGATTTAACCAGAAGTTTTCATTCTTGTAAAGGAAGCCTGCTGGGCTGGGAGTATAGCTTATAGGTAGAGGATTTGCCTAGCCAGGGTGAAGCCACTGTAATTTTTTTCCTAGACGGCTGGGGCTCAGCAGCATAAGCGCCTGCCTGACAAGCGCAAGGTTGTGAGTTCGATCCAAGGTACCAAAAAAAATTAGTCCTCGAATATTAAAATGCTTTGTTGATGTAATGGGTATTGCACAGAGTATATTATTCATGATTTTTGTGATGGGTAGAACAATGCTCATTTGGACTTTCCAAAAAGTGTTTCTTTACACAAAATGTGGCT